GCTAAGGCACTTGCTAAACCAGTGGAAGTTAAGACAATGGATTGGGATACCCTCGCACCAATCCTCCGGGCCCATTATGCACCCACGGTGCCAACACTTATCCGAAGACACGAATTTTACCAGAGGGACCAACGGAAAAACGAGAGCGTTGGAGACTTCATCGCGGACCTCCGGAACCTGGGAGGCCTCTGTGGTTTTGCAAACCTCGAGGAAGCCATGAGAGACCGAATAGTTCTGGGATTAGATGACCACACGGCACAGAGCAAGATCATGGCTAAAGGGGACATCGACCTCGCAGATGTCATCGCCGACGCTACTGCAGCAGAAGCAACCAGGAAGTCGGCCGCTCGAATGCGCCGCACCAACGCACCGCTCCGCAACTCGCCAGTGATACTATGCCTTTTTCCGAGAGGCACTCAACAACGGCTCACCATGAAGACCTCGAATCCTCGTCTGATAGTGAGGAAGAGGAGGTCAACCGACTCAGGTCAGAGTGCGACAAGCGAGACCAGAGGAGCCAGAAACCTTCGTGTCAATGCGCCGGTTGCGGGGCCAATCACCCGCGATCTGACTGCAAATTCCTCGACGCACTCTGCCGTTCCTGTGGTAAGAGGGGCCACATCGCAAAGGTCTGCAGAAGCAAGCGAGGGTCAAGTCCAATCCGAAGAGAAAGCAACTTCCGTCAAACAACGGGCAGCCCACCTGTAAATCGGGACCGCCTGAATCACCAATGGAACCACTATCACTACAGAAATAGAGCGCCTGCTGCGTCAGCTAGACAGGAAGAGGCGCATCAAACCATTACCATTGGTCACACATCATCCTTGGATGCAAGAAAGATCCGAGTGAAGGTCGCCATTGAGAATCGTCCATGCGTAATGGAAGTAGACTCGGGATCGTCCCTATCAATGGTCTCATGGAAAACTTTTAAACAGCTGATCCCTGACATCCGTCGCCAGGACCTCAGCACCCAAAAAATCATATTAAGGGACTACCAGGGAAACAGGATTCCCGTTGCCGGTTCCCGCCACGTCCAGGTGTCCTTCAAAGACCACACCGCAACTCTGCCTATTACCATCGTCGATCGAGACCGGCCCAGCTTGTTGGGATTACAGTGGTTCGCTCCACTGGGGATTGAACTAGCTGGCATTCACCAGACCGGAAGCAGCGACTGGGAAGCGGCCCTCGTCCAGGAGTTCCAGGACGTGTTCACCGAGAAGCTAGGCAAGTACAAGGGATCCCCCATATCGTTTAGCCTCAGCCCCGAGGTTGCGCCCATCCGCCTTAAGCCTCGTCGAGTGTCTTTTGCACTCAAGCCAAAGATTGATGAACAATTAGACAAATTAATAGCCCAGGGGGTGTTGGAACCGATCGATCACGCCCGTTGGGAAACCCCGATTGTAACACCCATAAAGCCTGATGGATCGATAACAATTTGTGGAGATTACCGGGCCACCCTAAATCACGTGCTTCAGCAGAGCTTCCTGGGTCTGGGGACATCGGGAAGAACGAGCATTCCAGCAAGTAAAAGATCTCTTAACCTCAGATGCTGTATTAATGCAGTATAACGAGACTTTGCCTTTAACTGTCACCTGCGATGCTTCACCGTTTGGGGTGGGAGCCATCTTAAGCCATGTCCTACCAAACGGAAATGAGGCACCTATTGCTTTCTTTTCACGAACTTTATCAAAGACTGAAAGAAACTATAGCCAACTCGATAAAGAGGCTCTCGCTATTGTATCCGCTATTAAACGTTTCCATGAATATGTATATGGCAGACCGTTTACCATAATAACCGATCAAAAGCCATTGCTTGGCATTTTAGCGGGAGACAAACCAACTCCCCACATCTTATCACCCAGAATGACCCGTTGGTTAGAGTTTCTAGCCGCATACGATTATCAACTGCAACACCGCCCGGGGAAAGCCATTCCCCACGCTGATGCCTTGAGTCGTTCTCCGCTACCTGAAGCCATAGACGATCCAGCTCCAACTTTAACTGCACTCCAAATTGAAACTCTCCCTGCACCACCCCTGACTGCATGAGACATCGCCGTGGAAACAAAAAAGGATCCTGTATTTGCTCGAGTCCTCAGCTGGGTGGAATGAGGTTGGCCTGACAACGAACCCAACGACACCTTCACGCCTTTCAAACACCGACAGACAGAACTGTTCTCCCAGAAGGGCTGCATCTTGTGGGGAGACAGAGTTGTCATCCCAGAAAAATTACAACATACAGTTCTAAAACTGTTGCACGATGGTCATCCAGGCATCGTGCGAATGAAGGCATTGGCAAGAAGTTACGCGTGGTGGCCAGGTATCGATAAACAGATAGAAGCCTGGGTGGCCACATGCAACAAGTGCCAGGAAATCCGCGCTGCCCCACCGAAGGCACCTCCAACTGAATGGGACGCACCTCGTGGTCCCTGGTCCCGCATCCACATTGACTTTGCGGGACCCACCAAGGGACACATCTTTCTCATAACAGTGGATGCCTATTCCAACTGGCTCGAGGTCCACAAAATGAAGAGCACCACCACAGAAGCCATCGTTAAAAAATTAAATAGACTATTCGCTACGCACAGATTGCCTGACGTTTTAGTCTCGGATAATGGTCCCCAATTCACTGCCCTAGCATTTGAACAGTACCTAGCCGACCGGGGCATCCGCCATGCCTTAACTTTGCCGGCTCACCCTGCGGCCAATGGCAGGGCTGAGCGAATGGTCCAATTCATAAAAAAGACCTTGCACAAGATGGAACATGGAGACATTGACGACAAAGTAACCAGAATGCTTCTCCTCCAACACATCACCCCGCACAGCATCACAAACAGAACCCCGGCCGAACTTCTGATGGGCCGGAAACTTCGCTCACACCTCGATCGCCTACACCCAACCTACACGCCAGAAAAACCTTGCGGTTCCAGCAGCAAGTGTCGTGCGTTCAAGGTAGGCGACTTAGTCTTTGCGAAAAACTTCTCGGGTGATCCATTGTGGGTCCCCGCTACTATAACTCAACTTACGGGCCCTAGATCTTACCGTCTACAAACTAGCGATGGGAAATTATGGAAGCGCCATATAGACCAACTTCGTTCCCGATTGGCACCTAACCCTATCTCAACCCCTGAATCTCAAACTGGCGGGGGGAGGGAAATCGAGGGGGCCGAAATGGAAATAGCAGATGACCCAATAATTGAAGCCCAGCAGTCTGCACAACCAACCATGGGATACTCACCTTCCGGAGGAGGACCGATCCGGGTGATTGCTTCACCGCAAAGCAGCCCGGCCATAGAAGCAAGTCCAGGGAACCCGGATGACAGCAGAGAAGACAGCCCTGAGTCCCCGAGCGGAGTAGTGGAACCGTTTTCGCCACCCGGTTCTACAAACAGCCCACCGGAGCCAGCGCCACAGCAGAAACCGGTGGAACAGCGAAAATCGAATAGACAGGTGAAACGGCCTGCCTACTTGCGAGAATACGTCACCCCACCCCTCAGACGGAACCTAGGGGGGAGGGGTGTTACGAACTAAGCAAACTCATTCATCAATAACCATACTAGCTTTACTTCAGCAGCAAGCTCGTAATCCTGCACTTCTGATTGGCCCGCGGATAAGTGAATCGTGATTGGCCGCCTCTGGCTGACCTGATTGGCTGACAGCGGGCCGTCTCTGATTGGACGCTTTTAGAGCTGTTAATTCAATTTCACTGGTTGTTGTGACAGCAGCCAGCTCTATAAAAGAGCTGCTGCTGCCTAAGTTGTTGCTCTGTTCTGAAGTCACTATTAAGAGTTGAGTCACTATAGATGTCTCGTCTCCGTTATTGCGCCCACTCCTCCAGATCTAACACTTTCTTTCAAATTATGGGCTAAGAGTGAAATTGTTTTGATTCACAGATGTTTGTCACTAAATTGGTACAGTCATCAAAATACACCTTTCAAGTGCAGTAGGTTGTTAGGGGGAAACTGGTACTTTACAGAATAGAGCTATTTTTCCTCACAGAAACATCACATCAACACAAGATAAAGGAAGTATATTTATTTACAGTCACAGACCATTAAAACACAACCACAGAATTAAAAATGCAGAAAACACTAATAAAACACATTAAATTGTAATTTATTGATTAGAAAGAGAACTATCCTTTTTGATAATCAGATTTGTGAGTGCCAGTCCTCATGAGTAGTACAATGGGCAAAGCAGCAATGACCTCTGTATTTGAGCAGGAACATGTCAAATTGTTGTATGGGAGACAGGTAGATTTGCCTATAGTCTCCATAGTAGGTAGCTCACCAATCAGGCCAGTGATGGCGAACCTTTTGGTTGTGGTGTGCCGAAAGGGCATGTGCGTGCCAGCACCCACAATGCAATGCTCCCCCCCATGCATGTGCACACAACACCTCCACCCCATTACCTGCACTGCGCATGTGTGCGCCTCCCAGCTGATTTTCGGCTTGTTTGAGGCCATTTTTGCTCTCCCGGAGGCTTGAGGGAAGCCTCTGGAGCCTCGGGAGGCCGAAAAATGGGCCCATTTCATCACTTCCAGTATTTCCGGAAGGCCCGTTTTTCGGCTTCCTGAGACTGCAGAGGCTTCCCTCGAGCTTCAGGGAGGTCGAAAAAGGCCTCAAATGAGCCAAAAAATCAGCTGGGAGGTATGCGCATGCGCAGTGCAGGTAAGTTGGCTGAGGCTCGCATGCCCACACAAATGGCTCTGCATGCCACCTATGGCACATGTGCCATAGGTTCGCCATCACAGCATTAGGCTAAATACTGCCATTTAATACTGTCTAATTTCATTGGGAATCTAGCTATCTATATAATGTCCTAGTCCTAAGACTTTCTGATAATCTACAGGCATCAGCCACTGAACCTGAATCTTCTGAACACAATAGTACACAACATCTGCTATCTTAATTACACTGTTAAGAGATAAGCTTTATCTTCGAAACTTGTCTATTATCTACATTTTAGTCACCACATTAAATTCATCTTCCCTATTTTTGCAGGGCCTTGAAATTCCTGATTCCAGTGACATCCAAAAGTGCAATCTGGAAAAGTGGGCAGAGTCCCATCCATTCAGCAGCAGATGGCCAAAATCCACAGTGCCTGGAACTCCTAATTGAAAATGGGTTTGATGTCAATGTTCTTTTGGCAGAACACATTTCCCAAAGTTATGACGATGTAAGGAAAACAGCCCTTTATTTTGCAGTTTCCAACAATGACATTCTCTCCACCGAAATATTATTGCAAGCTGGTGCAGACCCCAATAAAGATCCTCTCAATTGCCTTCTTGTGGCTGTGAGAGCAAACAACCATGAAATTGTACGGTTGCTTCTTTCTTATGGAGCAAATGTCAACTGTTATTTTAACCTTGTGAATGACACTCATTTTCCCAGTGCCATTCAATATACCTTGAATGATGAAGTAATGCTAAGGTTGCTGCTTAATCATGGGTACAACGTGGACCTCTGTTTTGATTGCATGCATGGCGATATCTTTGGAAATTCTTTTTTGTGGCCAACAACAGAGGAAGAGATATTACCAGGCTGGACATCTTGTGTAATTGAAGATAACCCTGTAAGGATATATATTTTTTATCCTATTCAATATTATTATTAATCAACATTTGTTAAGGAGAGTGTGTTGGGTTGGCTATTATTGGGTTTAAAATCTCAGATATTTCACTTTGATTGTATCTCTTCCCTCAAAGAAAATTGTGACTAAGATCTGTATGAATAATGCTCATTCCTTCTTCTATTTTTAGGTATAATGACAAAGGCCAAGTGTAAAGTGAGGATAGAAGCTGTTGTAAAAAGAAAACACAGACACATGTTTGTGTCCTTGTCTCTGCTACTGATAAGCATGCTTAGAGATGCAGGCATTAAATTGCCTCTGTTAAATGTACCCTTCTTCAAAAGAATAGAGCCAAGAGAAGAACTATTGATAACGCAATATGCCTAGTGCTATGTGGAAGGAAAAGGAAAACAAATTAATCCAATGGAAAACTTATATTATCTGATTAAGAGGACACTTAAATTCTCTGCAAAACTGTTGCAAGTCTACATCTTGGCTATCAAATTTATTCATTTCATTATTTAGGTACTTTTAGGCTATCTATTTAAACACAAGGAATCATATGAACTTCTACTGTATTATACAGACAAAGAAGAGGTCTGTGATCTATTTTGTTAGCAAGCTTAATGTTTAATGTTTTATAAGTCATTAGATATGCAAGTAAAGTTCAAGTATTTCAACTCAGAATATAGCTTTCCACTTTCTTCCCAAAGAGATATAGAGAACTGCCAAAACTATGAAATGGCATTATAATATTTTAAGAATTCTGGCTGCCTATAATTTGGCAGTTCAAATCTCACCAGGTTCAGAGTTGACTCAGCTTTCCATCCTTTCGAGGTGGGTTTAAAGAAATGTTTGGATTAATGCATCTTGTTTTATGATGTGACCTGTTCGTGAATTCTGCACAATATTATAATAATACATTTTAGAAAGTAATTTAGTATAACACTGATCATATTTTCCTTTCAGTTCTGTGATTTTATTACGCTTCCTTGGACGAAACATTTAGTTGGACCCATTGTCCGTATTTTGATAGATTATATGGATCATGTTCCTCTCTGCACTAAACTTAAATTTGTCTTGGAGACTCAGAAAGAATGGCCAGAAATCCAGCAAATATTAGGTAAATGAATACTATTCACTTGGAATTAGGCTAGCTGTTTAATCTATGAAAACAAAAGAAAAATGTATTTGTGTTTGAAGATTTCAAATAATTTGTTACTATTATGTTATAACAATATGTCCTTTGTGTGAATATATAAGGATTAGGTGAATAAAGGCTTATTATAGCAATAGAGGGGAGAACTTGATCTTGGGATATATAGTATTATCCAAATGGAATCTAAGAGAAATTATTGGTAGGAAGTCTATTATAGAACTACAGTTGCAGAAAAAGAAATGTGTAATACAACATCAATGGCAAAGAACAATAATCTATGATCTAATGTATTTTATTTGGTGTATTTGGAACTTCTAAATCACTTTTTCTTGTAAGTGGGTACTCCAGATTCTCTTGAAGTTCTAATAATTATTGGTTTAGATGGCGTCATAAATAAATGGCTATACTTCCAAGGTGATATTTTTGAAATACTGACTTGGGTTTCTAACATCTGAAAGCCAGGCTAGATATGATCAATAAGAGAAGATTGGATTAAATGATATCATTTCTCTAATACTAGCACAGAAATAATAAAATTTGAAATGTATGGTAAAGTCAAATACTACTCATTTGTGCTACAGAAGCATTTTATTTTTTTTTAGATAGTGTTGGCAGCTGGGATCAGTGTGTCTCATTTTGGTCAACATTTATCACATGATGTGATATTTTCATCATAGACTCTGGATTTTACCATACCTGTTATCTAGGAAGCGTTTATCAACAACTTGGATACTTCCTAAGTTTTCAGAGGACACAAAGTAGGAGGCAAAAATAGCTGGGAAAATTCAAAAGGGAGAAACGTTGCATTCTTCATTTGGGTAGAAAACAAGAAAGGCACCAGGATAGAAAGGCAGTAGTACATGGGAAAGGGATTTGGATACTGCCATTGATCACAAATTAAATATGAGCCAGGAGTATGATATAACTGTAAAAAGTGAACTGTGTCTTAGGGATACATTAATAGGAGCAAAGAGTTTCAGATCATGGGAATTTATATTCCATTCTACATTGCACTCTTCAGATTTTATTTGGAGTGCTGTGTCTAGTTCTGGGCATTACAGTTGAAAAAGAACACTGAAAATTGGAGCAAAGGGGAGCTTCAAAATGCTGGAAATCAGGTGTTAATTACAAGACAACTGAAGGGAGATATGCAGGGATGGGATTCAAAAATCCCAGCAATTGGTTTGCTGCCTGGTTGCTGGGTGGGCATGTCCATAGTCGGGGTGGCCTACAGGAACTTCCGGGAGGGCTATTTTCTTCCTTCTGGCCTCTGGGGGTATGAAAACAGCCTCCCTTGGGCTCTGGAGGACCTCCGGAACCCGGAAACAGGCCCATTTCCAGACATCCAGTACTTCTGGGTGTTAGATCAGGTAGATCGGTTCCCACAGAGACGCAAGACCAAAAGTGATCATTCAGCTCTTTATTGTGTATATAGACCAGTACAAGACCTGCGAGCTGCGGCAACCCTTCATATAGGAATCGCTCGCGGCTCGGCGGCCAATGACAGGGCTTTGAATCTCCCGCGATCGGCTCGACCAATCGTGGTTGATTCTTAGCGCGCCAATCACGGCCATTTAGTTGGCCAATCAGGTTGCGGTCTGTGTGGACCAATCAGGGCTCAGGGTTTGGAGTATGCTAATATAGAACACTGGGAGGGCCGTTTTTTGCCTTCCCAAGGGTCCGGAGGCCTCCCTCTGGCCTCTGGGAGGGTGAAAACAGCCTCCCCCAGGTTCTGGAGGTCATCCGGAAGTCAGAAACAGGCCCGTTTCCGGACTTCCGGAAGGCCTGATTTCCCCCCTCCCAGAGCCTTCACATGGACCCTGTACTTATCTGCATTGAAAATGGGCTACGTGGAGACTCCTGGGAGGAGAGGGACGGAGTGGCCGAGGCCAGCCGGTCAGTTGAAATACTGGTTCGACGAACCAGGTGAAAACGTAACATTCGGTTCTCCCGAACCGGTAGAATCCCACCCCAGGAGATATGATAGCAGCAACTATATGAAGTCACATGGAAGAAGAAATCAAAATATTCTCTCTTACTCCAGTGATCAAGACTTGAACCAGTGATTTCAAAAAGTAGGTACAAATAGAGATCAGGAGAACCTTCCTGATTGTATGAGCTGTTAGCCAGGGAAACAGGCTGCATGGTCAGTTTGGCTTTCAATGGAGATCTTCAAACGGGCTGGGTGATCATGATCTAATGTATCCCACCCTGAGTATGGCATTGGATCAAATTATCTTTTAAGCTTCCTGCCTTCTGTATGATTTTTCAGTGCTAAATTAATCAGACATATTTTCCATTTCTTTCCTTTGTGTCTTTCAGAGAATCCTCGTCCACTAAAACATTTGTGCCGCCTGAAAATACGTAAATATATAGGATTAGCGAGAAGAGAGAAGACTCTATCCATGAAGAATCTTCCTCTCCCCCCGATTTTAACAGAATTTATCCTCTTCAAAGAATATGATCTTTATGGAAGAGAACTACATTTGGAATGATCAGAATCCCAGACACATTCCCTTGCTTATTAAACTTCACAAAGCTTTGGATCAGAATATCTAAATTGCCAAATATAAGATGGCTTCTAAAGATTTCCTTAGGCCCATGGAAGAGATTTTTTTTTTTATACCTTACACTTGAATGTTTTGGAGGGGAAATGACACCAGCTCCATTGCTTCATTTCCACTTTTGTCATAGAAGTAGAAGACTTTACATGTACTCATATCAACTTTACACAAATACTGTTATTTGCAGAACTGTGCTAGTTTTCCCATTTGCCTATGCATCTTGGTTTTAGTATGTTTTGCCGCCATCTTCTCCTTTTTCATAAGAAATAGAGATTGTTCCCTTGTCAGAAAAATTAGTGTTTTTTTTCTTGGCACATAACAGAATTATATTCTGGATATATTCTAATATAAAGTATTTCTTATTATGCCATATAACGTGTAACATTACGTTGTGGAAGAGTTAAAAGACGTGTGAAATATTATGTGGATTGTACTTAAACAAGAACCTTCTTTTGCATTTTTCCCTTTTTTTCACGGCTTCCAGATTAGAAGCACAGCACTCATATAATTCATTTTGTTTTAGGATTATTTTGCAGGGCAATTCACTATATCTTATTAATGGTCAAATAATATAGATTTCTATTTATTTGATGTGCACATCTCAGTTTCTCTTCTATATACATACATAAATATGTGTAGGTGCACACAAACATACACACAAATACAAACTGTTCTTATAGAAATCATGTTTGTTCACAGGTAGATTATCACTGAACATACAAAATGCTTGTTCTGATGAGACAATGCTAATTTCAATATGCATACCGAACTTTTTGAAATTCTGGCGTGCCTGGATTTTCAAGGGTATCACAATCCAGAGGCTTAGTTATCCATTAAAAGCTTCAGGCACACTCTGAACGATTTCCTAAAGTTACCAAACAGTTATTTTTAATCAGACAGAAAAACAATTCAATGACAAGAGAGGCATAATGTTAATTACATAATAACTATACTGAATTCTTATTGAATGTAAATGAACTTAACTTTAATTTTTTCTGATTTTGGGGAAGTATACTTCACCATTCAAAGGTTAATAATGGTGTAGAACAGGGAAGTCAAACTTGATTTCATTCAGGGCCGCATCAGGGTTGTGTTTGATCCGGCCTACGGGCCTTGAGTTTGACAGCCCTGGTCTAGAAAAATAAATGCAGTTTCTGTTTTTTAAATGGTTCAATTGTCAGTGGCTGTCCTACCCTATATATGGAGGAGATCGAATTGCTTATGATTATTATGCAGACAAGATCCTGCAGAACCAGCTTCAGATCCGTTCATGTGAAACGGGACGATGTAAAAAATGGTCCATCCAATAATTTAGATTGTCCATGCAATATTTCATAAATCCATTTAGGAATTTTACTGAAGACATGTTTAGTTCTCCTGTCCTTTCATGGTATTTGCAATCCTTAATATTCCAATTGAAGGGAACCTATATCGAATTAAAGACGACAACTTGGGTACTAACCCATTCTTGGATTTGCCATGTTGATATTACTACATTATTACATTCTAGCTCAGCAAAAGAAACACAATTCATTGAAATGCATTTCAAAGGAAGAAAGAACTCACGTTGATTTTAAATTGTACACTAAAAGGGATTAGATGTTCAACAAACCATAATAACCCCACTGTTCTATAAATGTGCCTGGAAAATAAGGAAAGCAGTTTATATTATAAGCTTCTCAGTAAGGTATTTCTGGGGCATCCAAAGTAAAAAAATTAAAATACACTGTATGTCTTGTAGGTTTTATGTTGACCCGTTGGCATGTGCTTAAATTATCCTTACTGACAGCCACAGAAGCCATCTTGCTGGATGATCCACAGACGAAGCATGTGGACGTAATCTCTTGTTGACTTGTTGCCTGTTTTGGAATGTATTTGGCTGGTGGAGAAGTCCAAAGTACCCCCAGCTCCAAGGTTGTTTGGGGCAAACATAACATTATTCAAAAGGAGGAGGGAATAAACCTAAAACTAGTTGAAATTGGCACTTGATTCTCTGCCCAGGGATAGAGAGAGAGAGAGAGACGAAGGATGGTAATACGATTTTTTGATATGATATTTCTGAGTTTTGGCTGACATCGAGGAAAGGCTGTTTGTTTATATTTCCTGCCAAAGACACTTTGTAGTGAAGCATCAGCCAGGTTGCTATTGAAACCTTCATCCCCAAACATAACAGTGCAGTCAGGAATCCGCACAAGTATCAGCCCCTCTGTACAGGCCTGGGTTTCATTTAACAGTTCTAGGATGACAAAATAATGCAATTTATCACAGTATCTTGATTTCCATACTCCACAAAGTTGAATTTCCACCAAAATATGGCTATGTGGGTGGATTTTAACATGAAATTGATGAGTATACTGTATTTGGTTTTTTTAAAAATCTTCTTTATGCTCCATTGAACACAATGAAATAATCTCACTGTAAAGTTATTGCTGATAATGGCTTTATGAAATTCAGCAGCATAAGATTTTTTTTAATGCAATTAAGAGTGAATACAGTGATTAATACTTTGCTGCCCTTTCACGATATCCCAGATATCCTACTTAGAGTTCATTTGGCATGCTCTTAATTTTGCATCTGAAATTCTAGAATTTTTTTTGGGGGGGGGGGAAACTAGGCATTATACAAGGAGTACTTTGTACCTAACAGCTGCTTCTGTCTATTCATAAGGGAACCAGTTGAAGTCAATGCGGTTTTCTCCAAAGTAAGCAAGTATAGAATTACTGGCTAATTTCTATTTGTTTTTATTCCAGAAGAGAAAAGGCCAGTATTCTCACCTGACTTTGAAGTTGCAAAGTCACTGCTGTCGATGACACAAACAATGAAATCACTTGGCAAAGTAACCTGACTGAGAAGTTATTCCACAACATGCTTTCAATGTGCATTTTTACCCAGTTGGTTTACTGATGTGAGTGTTAAATGTAGATGCTGACACATTGGTTTCAAACATAATCTATGTACAATGTTTACATACTACGTATAAGTATAAATTTGTTCCCTCTTCCTAAATATTTATATGTCAGAAAATGATTGTCTCCAGGAACTCAAGATGGATTACATGGGATTTCTCTTCATTTTATTCTTGTATCATTACTTTGTACATTATGAGAGAGTGTGACTAGCCAAAAATAACCCAATGATTTACCAAGGGTGAGAGAGACCTGAATATGGGTCTCCCAACCCCAGTCAAATATTTTATGCAAGATTCCAGAAAGGTATACCTAACTCTTAAGAGTTGGCAAAGTGTTCTGAAACAAAGACTGTCACAACTCTGTGTAAGTGTTAGTCCATAAAGCGAAGAAACATAATGATTATATTATTCCAAATCCACTTTCTGACCTTGGTAGCTTTAAGACGTGTGGACTTCAACTTCCAGATGTCTGAATCTTGAGACTTCTGGTAGGTCAGCAATCAACAAAACACAAACCTGCTCTTGAAATTAAGAATGTATGAACATAAGAAAAGCTGTCCTGGATTAAACCATGGACCCAACTGGTTCAGTCTGGTACAATCTGGTACAGGTAGTCCATTCATTTAGTGACTGTTCAAAGTTACAACAACCCTGAAAAAAGGTGACCTATGGCTATTTTTCAAACTTAAAGCTGTTGTAGCATCCCCATGGTCAATGACTAAAATTTGGATGCTTGGCAGTTGGTTCATATTTATGACATCCTGGAATTATATGATCACCTGGGACTGGGCTTGGCTAGTCTAGTAAAGAGAAGGACCAGGGGAGACATGATAGAGGTCTTCCAATATTTGAGGGGCTGCCACAGGGAGGAAGGGGGTCAAGCTATTTTCTAAAGCACCTGTAGGCCAGACAAGGAATAATGGATGGAAACTGAACAAGGAGAGATTTAACCTGGAAACAAGGAGAAACTTTCTGACAGTGAGAACAATCAACCCATGGAACAGCTTGCCCTCGGAAGTTGTGGGAGCGCCATCACTTGACACTTTCAAGAAGAGATTGGACTGCCATTTGTCAGAAATGGTGTAGCTTGGGCGGGGGGTTGGACTAGATGACCTATAAGGTCCCTTCCAACTCTGATTATCTGTTACCTTTTTGCAACCTTCTGACAAGCAAAATCAGTGGGATTCACTTTACAACTGCAAACTAAACAAGTAGAGATTTGCTTAACATCTGTGGCAAGAAAGGTTGGAAAATGGGGCAAAACACACTTAACAACGGTCTCACTCAGCCACAGAAATGTTGGGCTCAGTTGTGGTAGTGAGTCAAGGACTATCTGTATTACACAATGGTCAAGCTTGGAAAGCTCATAAGCCTGAACCGAAGGGTAATAGTTCCTTTTCACTGTTGGATTCCAGCAACCAGCATTTGAGGCATACTGAGCGTGCTTAAGAGGCAGTAAACAGCTATCAATATTGGTAGCCATGGAAGCATGTGATCCTCACATAAACCTCTCTAGTCCCCATTTAAGATCTGTTACAACGGCTGGCAGCAATTTCCTCAATTTAACTATGTTCTGCGTGAAAAAGTATTGAGACTTGAGAAAAACTTACTCAGGCTATAAATTATCTTATTTACCTTAGTCACATTTCTTGTTACTCTCCTATTTCAGGCTAGAAATGTCCTCACTGCTGTTATCTTTCTTTATGAAAGGTAGGCTCCCATCCCAAATCTCCTGCTGTGCCTTTTCCCATGATGATAATATCCTTTTAAAATTGTCATAGCCAAAACTGAACTTAGTCTTCAAGTGTGGTCACATCGTGACCTTAGATAGGATTGTTCTAAAGAAGATCATTGCATTGTTGCACCGATAACTATTTTCAATTCTCTTCCTAAGGAACTTCAAGCATAGAAATTACTTGTTAACAGTAATTGCACACTCTCTTTTACCTTTTTATGAGAGTGCTAATGATGACTCCAAGATCAGCATTCTGGTTAGGTTTTTTGGTGGATTTCATTTATTTATATATAGATACATACTAATGGCTCTGTAATCCCTTAATTCAGGATAAAGTCTGGACAACTGGATGGACTGAGCATTTACTGGCTGGATGTCCTTCTTGATACCATGCAGAGTTCACAATATATATTTTTTTTCTTTGTTCCTTAGGAGAGAAACATCCACTTGCTAGCTAGGATCGAATTCTCAACCTTCTGTATGGAAGGCAAGTTTCTT